GTCTCGTTGCTATTTCTTTATCAATAAAATTAATTTTTTAAAAAAAAACTTCTCCACACCTCCCTCTGTACACAAGATAATCCAAACTCCTTAGCATGACATTCCAGGTACCTCACAGTCTGGAAGGTCTTTGGCAACTTTCCAGGCCCCAGTCATAGGAGCTCCAACCACAGCCACAGCCCACCTGTCAACAGATGAGGCACCTCAGAGGAGCTGTTTCCAGGGTCTTAGTATCTCAGAGACTTGAACAGGACACCCCAAGAGTAACAAGAGTACTCAGGAGGCTGAGGAAAGAGGACTGCTGTGAGGTTCAGGACAATGCAGGCTACATCATGAGTTCAGTGGGGCCAGGGAGATAGCTCAGTGGAATAAGGGGGGCCAGGGAGATGTCTCAGTGGAATAAGGGGGGCCAGGGAGATGGCTCAGTGGAATAAGGGGGGCCATTGAGATGGCTCAGTGGAATAAGCGTTTCCCTGGCAAGTGCAAGGGCCTGAGTTCAATCCCCAGTTCCGCCAAATAAATAAATAAATAAATCACAATTTGGGGCCGGGGAGATGGCTCAGTAGGATAAGCGCTTGACTGGCAAACGCAAGGATCTGAGTTCAATCCCTGGTTCCGCAAAAAAAAGAGTTCAGGTCAGCCTGAACTACACAGTGAGACCTTACTGGAAGAAGGAAGGAAGGAGGGAGAGAGCAGGGAAGGGGGAAGGGGGAAGGGGGAAGGGGAAAGGGGGAAGGGACCCATTTACAAAGACACCAGGTCAGTAAACAGAGACTATCACTCCCAGTAGAAATGCAAGGCCAGGTTCCTGAGAGCTCTGGCTATATTTTCACCCGATCAGTCCATCCCAGTTTCATGTGTGCTTCGCTTTAAAGGCACCTTATTGAGCACAGAGCAGTGACTTGGTAACAGTGAACTCATGGCCAGCCACTGCCACTGTAGCTCCTGCCGCAATGAGGCTCATCTGCCACATTTCCTCCTGGAGGCTCGTCATAGCCTTCTTGTTCTTAGGAAGACAGGACAGCTTTTCTGCACTGTGCTTGTAATGTCA